ACATTAGTATCCAATGCAAAGAAATAAAGTGGGATCGTAAAAACTACTCTTTGACTGGTACCTGGCAGATATAGAATTATATATGATCAAATATTTTAATATTTATTTCAGTGGTTAATGATGGATGCTAATTGTTTAACTCTACTGCCCTACTGCATTTGTCGGACTATTTAACTGTTTACTACAGGCTGATAATCCACAATAGAAAATATACAACCATTCACTCCTTACAGCTAAATCGATGAAAGTAGCGTTGGAGAATATTTTTAATTCCTTTAAATATAATATGCTACGGGTAAGTAATGGTAGAGATGAAAACTTTCCTCAAGAGTCGTGCTTCTTGAGTTTGAGGTTCGCACTATCCTCAGCCGATTAGAAATGCTGCATAACTTCCATTCAAATTTATTAATAGTACCATCTGCAGCAAAACAGTAGGATGCATCAAATCCTTTGAGATTTAGCCTAATTTAAATCTGCTTTGCTTTGATGCCTTAAAGTATGATGAATGATTTGCATATTTTTGATAAGAGAGGCCTAATCTTACGGATGGATTCTGCCCTAGGTTTTATCCCCAACTTTGGGGCTAGGATACACAAATGCAAACTAGTTCTGAGCTCACTGTCATTATGCCCAACTGTTTATATCGAAATGCCTTTTCTAAGATTCGGTCTCCTTCGAGAACTAGAAAATAGAAGAGAAAATCTCCAAATAATTTCCCTTTTTATCCTCAGACTCACCCTGGCCTCCAGATCAGGGAGGCGTTTACGTAGCTCCATCAATTGACTTTTGATTCTTGCGTTTTCTTCTCTCAATTGTCCCGTTTCCATGCCACCTCGGGCAGTGTTATTGCGTAGCTCCTGTAGCTTCATGTTATAGAATGCCTCCAGGTCACCTTTGATAGTATCCATCTTGGAGTCGTATTCAGCCTGTATGTCGCGCAGCGCTTGAGCCATCTCGTTCTTCCAGTAGTCCCTGTTCTCTTGGGTAGTGTCTCGATACGCCAGGGCAGCAAGCTCTTTTAGCTCCTAAAGAGGCCAAATTACACAAAGAATCTTAGCCGGAGGCGAAATAGAAAGTATTTAAGTGCTAAATTACGTAATCACCCTCACCTGAGTCATCACACGTAAATTTTAAAACATTAGAGCACATAATATTTAACAATTATAGCTCAAGAAGATTAGCTTATTTTAGATTTCCTAAAATGTGTTGAAAAATTCTCCAAATAGGGAATGAGGCTATGGCCAATAGAATGCTTGAAATTAGACCATTCCTTCATATATTGCTAAAATAACCAAAAAGAAACATCTAACTGTCTGTGTCTACATTTTTAAAGCTTTTTTTATACCAAAGGTTGATCGACAGCTGTCCCACGTATTTAAATCAATTTTAAACTTGATTTTCTGATACAGTGGAGAGTATAATTGAGTAGAAATAGCAATAGGAACATGCATTGCACAATACAACTTACAGATTCATGAACCTGTTTTACGAAAGTAAGCTCATCGCGAAGGGATTGTCCTTCATTTTCCGCTGCAATATGTGCCATCGTTTCGTGGTCCAAGTCCTAAGACGTTGCGTAAAATGTCAGAACAATAAAACAAATTACTTACAATCGAT